GTCCACAGTGGATTAAAGGAACATGGTACAACATTAACACACATAATATAAATATGAGGATAAAACCATGCCGTATAAATACAAATAAACAAACATGCAATATAAATATCACAATAAAATCATGCAAATAAAATCAACACTATGTACCAATACACAGATTGACAAAACATACAAACACAAATTTCCACTGTGTGACATAACCACGAATAACGTGTTTTGGAAACTAACTGCACAACAGGCAGCACTATTAGTTCTCTCAGTCTCAGAGCAGCATTTCTAATTTTGATTGACACTGTCAGAGAAAACGGCAGCCTCGAGCAGCCAGGATATTAGTTTAAAGAGGTTGTTAAACCTAACGTTAAAATGTTGGTGACACAATAATTTCATCCTAATGGCACTGACATATTCATAGGGTTCATTTTTGAGACAAAATATCATGAGGTAGTCATGATTTTGCAAATATTTTACCTTGTAGTGCAGTTTGCACAAATTGTTTTAAAAATGCACTCACCCTACAAACATTACTGATGAGTCAAGATCTGCACAAAGTGACAGAAACACTGAAGCAGCTCCACATTTTATTCATATTGTCATGTATGTCCTATTTGTCAGGTGACAGAAGAACCAACACAAAGCTCAGAGAGTAATGGTGACACAAGATCACAGGTGAAATTGGATGATGACTTGCTGGTTCATGACTGTATTTGAAGCACATGTCTGACTGCATGTATGTGGAGTGTCTCACTGTTGTTTATCAGGTGACAGAGGCAGCTCTGCCATGTTGTAGCTCAGAGGTGAAGAGGCGAGGTCACAGGTGACTGGCTGATGATTTGGTGCTATAGATTAACTAGTATTGTCATGACAGTTGTTAGGCTGCTGATGTAAATTCATTCATTAGTGTATATTTGACAAAGAATCTGAATTGACATGTCTCATTTTTTATATGGCATGAATCCATGTGTTATTTTTATCAGGTGGTAATATGTCCTAGTACAGTCAGAGGGGAAGAGCCAGGGCCAAAAGTGAGGCACATCAAGCACATGATAACAATTTTAATCTGAGGATAAAACACATGTACAGTGGCTATAAAAAAATCTACACACCCATGTTCAAATGCCAGGTTTTTGTCATGTAAAAAAATGACAGCAAGTCAAATAGTTCCAAAACTTCTTTCACCTTTATGTGACAATGCACCTGGAAAAACAAACAAACCTTTAAAGGGGGGAACAATAAAATAAAAAAGTTAAAATAACCTGGTTGCACAAATATGCACACCCTTAAACTAATACTTTTTTGCGGCACCTTTGCCTTTTATCACACTAATCAGTCTTTTTGGGTAGCAACCTATCAGCGTGGCACATCTTGATGTGGCAATATTTGCTCACTCTTCTTTGCAAATAAACCTCCAAATCGGACAGATTGTGAGGACATCTCCTGTGCACAGCCCTCTTCAGATCACCCGACAGATGTCGGATGGGATTCAGGGCTGGACTCTTTCTGGTCTCTTCCAAAACCTCAGTTTTATTCTGGTGAAGCCATTCTGTTGTTGTTCTGGATGTGTGCTTTGGGTAATTGCTGTGCTGAAAGATCAAGTTCCTCCTTATAGGCCACATTAAAGGTGGCGAAAGTTGTGAAATTATTTGACTTGCTGTTAGGGCTGGGCCATATTATACCGTTCACGGTAATACCGGTATAATGTTAGGCAACGATAGGAAAATGAAATATCGCGATAGAATATGAG